GATAGATACGACCGTCTCGACGAAATGCAGTTTAATGCACCTACCGAATTCTTAACACTCAATTGGAAAAATAATTGAATCGGTATTTATTCATTGTCAGATAGATTAGAAATTCGGGAAGTCTACTGGGAGAAGTATTCTTTTTCTCGTTTCGTCTCGATCGTTATAAAAAATATCGTGCGCGTTCGATGATCGCGGTTATAAACGAGATGCTGTTTGATTCTGAATACTTTCGTAAATTCTATTCGACAGTGACACCAATGATGCACCGGAACGTAAAACTTACTGAGAGACAGACGAACGTATTTTCAAGGATATTTTAAAGATAACGTTCCATCAAGCGTTATCTCGTCGAAAGAGCTAACAATTTTATTTTTTCTTGGGGTTGAAAATTAATAAGTTTAGCGACAAAAATCTTTTTCTTTTTTTTCCTGCTATAAAGTGCGCGTGCTACGACCTCGATAAAGAGGAGCAGGAGGAGGAGGACCGAGGGAGAGAGAGAAAGAGAGAGAGAGAGAGAGAGAGAGACTTAATGCAACGTTTCCTGAAATGTGAGGTAATCCTCGAACTGCAGACGAAGGATCTCGACGCGACCGGACAACGCCCGCGCTTTCAACGTTTCTCATTATTCTAGCTGACAAGAGCGGCAACATCCGCAACACGGACTCACGGATTGCGCAATGCCGCCCATGCTTCTTCCTCCTTTTTTCATCCTTCTCATTTTATTCGAGAGAAAAAGGACCACCGAGACCGGTCAATCTTCTCCCCTTAATCGTTTACTCTTTAAATGGTAGCATCAGGATATTTCGATATATTTATCAAGAACGAGTTCCGAAGACGTATCAAAATTTTGATAATTATTTTAGAAAATCTCTTAGTCCGGTTATTCTCTAATATCTATTATGCCATATTTTTGCCTCGATAAAGATCTTTATTCAAATTTGTCTAGTATTGACAACTAATTGATTCGACCGATCGTATTCCATATGTTATTCCCATGATGTCTTTCTATCCGCTCTAACTACTCTTGTTCACTTTCTCTTATGCTATAAAAAAAGGTGTACAAGAATGTATCGTAAATCTACGTATCTATAATATCGCTCGGTGGCCATGAAAGATAAATTTAGAGTCTAACAATATGTTTGTGTGTGTGTGTGTGTGCTTGTATATATATCCGCTCGCACTGGCGCGTATATATATATATATATATATATATATATATGCATGCGTGCATTCGTGTTCGAATAAATGGAAGAAGTAACGAATTTCCGCTGCAAATTTTGATGAAAAATTGCAATGCTGTTTTGATCCCTTTCGGGCAGTTTACTCGAGAGACGACGCGCGACGGTAATGCTGAGCGAAGCTCCGACGTGTCGGCACGATACTCCGAACGCTACCTCATCGGTTACATAACTTGGCTGACTTGGACTCGCGCACGTAGTTACATACACACGTGCGCGTCGCTCTTGTGAAAACTCGACTGGCTTTGCCCGTTTCTCTCTCTCTCTCTCTCTCTCTCTCTCTCTCTCTCTCTCTCTCTCTCCCCCTCCCTCCCTCCTTTCCGTTTGCCGTCGCGAACGCACTGACGAAGAGAGTACAACAGACGAAGGCATGCAAACTCGAAACGCGTACGTATGTAAGTACATACAACGCGCGAAAACGTGACGAACGCGATATCCTTATCTCTCTTTTGCATATTTCGTTTTTTCATCGTATGCAACAGTTTCCTTTCCTCTTCTCTTTCTCATAATCAAGATATCCGTTTCTCTTCCTTTCCTGCTCATTTGTATATCAAATCGATCGATATATAAGATTGCATAGATCAATGAAAAAGAGTTAACGGATTCGATATCGAATAAGCGTCGATTGCTTTGGAAAAGAAAAGAACAAAAGGAGAATGGAGTGATTCTACTAGAGAAAAACATAAATAATCCGCTTATATATTATGCTTTATTCGTATTTTTCTTCGTTCAATCGCGAATAACTACTAATTCTAATTAATTCGCCAACGCAAAATTCTCGCTACTGTTACTTCAGATGAGAACCGAATTTACCGTTTCGCGTCTCGAGAATCATTTTTACGATAGTCGCTCCTCCGCGACCGCATAGATTTTAAAGGAAGGCGCGTAATCGATATTTTTATCGTGTTTCCCGAGAAACATTTAACGTGGGCGCGAGCTCAACGTTTACGCCTTATTTAACGGAAAAACGTGTATAATAATAGTATGAAAACGGTGCGATGAACGACCGATCGCGACGTATTAGAAGGTGAAATAATCTGGACGGGAGTATCATTACGGGATACGAAGTTTAACAAAGTGACGTCTATGGGTAACGTGTAACGTATAAATAAAAAAGTTGCATATTACATTCGATATGATTTCATATGAAACGAAGTTGATCGATTTGATGAAATTTGAAGAATCAAAGATGAGATTCGAGTGAGCATTCTCGAGATCGCGTACTAGCACATGCAAGTATTTGACGACTATCAAGAGAGCCGGCGCCGACGGTCGAGTCGGAAGTAATCGTAATATGACAAGCACTCGATACTGTATATATGTATATATGTACTTTGTCTCTCTTTTATCTCTCTCGCGCGCTCTCTCTCTCTCTCTCTCTCTCTCTCTCTCTCTCTCTCTCTCTCTCTCTCTCTCTCTCTCCTTTCTTTTCGTACAATTAATTCTTATTGCCTTATGCCGGGAAGGGATCCGAAAGCCATAGTAGACACAGTAAATCGTTTTCCTTCTTTCTTCATCCGTTGGTATTAATTCGCCTACGTTTAATGTGTCTTCCTTTTTTCTTCTCCTTTTACTCTTCTTATCCTTCGTTACCCGGACGCGCTCATATACTTATGTAAATATGCGTATGCGTCTTTATCGTGCACGAGGCGACGCCAGCGTACACTCAGCGAGCAACGGAATAGATAACGCTTCCCTCGCTTGACAAAACTCGACTTACTTGGAAGACTGTCTCTCTCTCTGTCTCTCCTCCCTTTCTCTTGCTCGCTCGCTCTTTGTTTCTTCGCAATATAACATTTTTTCTATTGTGACGGCATTGCACTTTGCCATTTCATTGGAACACTACCGAGTTAGAGTTCTTACGTCCGTTTGCTTTGGTTCAAAAGAAATCCAAACGATCTCTATATTCTCTCTCTCTCTCTCTCTCTCTCTCTCTCTCTCTTTATTCTCCTCTCCCTTAGTCACCCCGTTTTAGTTTTATAAGAGCAAAAGAAAAATAGATAAAATATTCACACCAGTGCGTTATAACGTGGTTCTTACACGTAAGACTCGACTTGTCCCTTGTCAATTTCCCTCCTCACCCTCGAGGAAGATCGTCCATAACGTTAACCTAAGCGACACGGACAACCGGCGGGACGATAAAAGTCGTGTTTACTTTATCGAAGATTAGCAAAGGCCTTGCGCGCGTGACGTAAGTGCGGGCGTGCGCGCGAGCGTGCGCACGAATGAGAGACTCTTTACTTTTCTTCTAAGTTATAACGACTTTTCTTAAAGTACATTATTAGATTCTTTCGATTTTCCTTATTTCCTCTCTTCGGCTTGTTCCTAACGTTCTGCCGGTCAGACAGATGAAGAAAAAGAAAAAAGTTATGTCTTGTAGTCGATATAGGAATGGAATTGTGAAGAAACGAGCGCCGCGCATAGGAGTAACGTCGAATTACAATGTAAGACCTCGCGCCTATTTATTATAAAATGCGCCCTCGGCGCATTGTTTAAAAAAATAATCGGACGATCTCAATAATTGTGTAAAGCGCGATATCCCAAAGTATTGGAAGAAAATAATAAAATTCATCGATCATATTAATCGGGCTGATATATCCGGAGGGGGGGGGGGGGACACACATATACGAACCAGCGAGCAGAGGTCGCGTGAAACGAGAGGTCCGAACGTCGATAGATCGTAACGTCGTATGATAAAGATCGACGCGACGACGACGGTGGAGCGCGTCGTGGTGGGGTTTGGTAGCAGGAGGCGGGACTAATGGCGCCGTTTCTCCGTAATCGCGACTTTTCCTTCCTTCTACGAGCGACAAAGCAACGACTTTGTCTAAAACTAACTTTGAGAGTTTTTAAACTTTCGCGGTGTATCGATGTATTATTTCTTTACTTACCTCATGACCACTTGACGTTGATCGCGTTCGAAGGAGCATAGAACAATGTTGTGAATGTTTCACCGACCGATCAAATGGAAAAAAAAACAAATCGAACAAACCGAATTTAATCTCGGATTCGTATTAAGTTTGAGAAGAAATATGACAAGAAGAAGCAGCGACATCATCGTAATGATGATGCGTAAAGAAATGAGGAGAATAGGAAATTCCATTTATCTTCCACTTGTTATTTCTATGTCGATTATGAAATATGAAAAGTACATATTTTGGATCTTTCGATAGGGAAGAGGGTGTTAGAAATTTGGGGGTGTTTTAGAAGAATATTATCTCTACGCATCGCGTCTCGAACTTATATATGTATGTACTCTTTTACAATTTATTTCACAAGATCGACTTTTGGCATGGTAAAAGGAAGTTTGAAAAAATAGGAGGAAAGGAATAGAAAAGTGGGTAGGGTTGTGGGGCGACGCGACGTTTTTTTTTTCTTTTTCGTACGCGAAACATCAGTCAAACGAGAAATTGCATAATTCTGCACACTCGTCACGAAGAAAATGCTCGTATGCAATTCTTCAACGCTACCATCGCTAGACGTGCAAGTTCGCGCCTTCTTGCGCGTATCTTTCCTCTACCTGGCTCCTAGCGATATCTATCCTTCTTCTTCTTCTTCTTCTTCACCGAGCATACCTTTTTCCTTTTCTTTCTTTCTCTCTCTCTCTCTCTCTCTCTCTCTCTCTCTCTCTCTCTCTCTCTCTCTCTGTTTCGCTCTCTCGCTCTCTCGATCACATCGCCTGAAATACTCCCCGCCTTTCGAACCTTCTCTTGGCAAGCAGCAGCAGCCTCGCTTCTGACGCATCGCACTTGCTCTCTCTCCCTCTGTCGGTCCGTTGTGTCGTTGCGCTGGCCTCTCAGTCTGGCGCGCAACAGTGACTCGTCGGCTCGACTTCGCTCGGCAGTCGCGATCAAGCTCGCGTTCTAAACGGGACACGTGTGTGATGCAGGGAATTCCTTATTGCGCATTTTTAATACATTATTTATTACTTTTGCTTTCGGTACTTAGAGATAACGCGACCCATGGGAAAGAAGAGAAATGAATTGTCATAGTTTCTTTGACTGCTCTGCTTGAACGTTTTTCTAATCTTTTTTCTTCATTTTCATGTTTGTCATTTGCTCTCCTTTTATTGCCTGGTTCTCGACGTCATTTATCCGAGAGAAGCTACGAAACGGAAGAATAAATGTGGACAAGTTCGAAGGATCATAGACGATGTGTGAACCTAGTTAAGTTTACTGAAAATCGAAGATGCTATCCTATTGTCCATTGTTCCATTGCGTTCGGATCGATCGATATGTTTTTGTTTACACGCCGCAAGCGGCTACGTTGAAACTCTCGTTGTTCATCTGTGCTCTTTAACTAAATCTTGACGAATTTGACAAAGAGTGAAGCGAAATCGCTATCGAGTTGTCGCTCGATTCATTGAAAAACTCGTCTCTTCTTCTCTGTGGAGACCAAAGCGTATCTTGTAGCGTGCAGAGAGATAGAGAAAAAAAGAAAAGAAGCAGTGTTTAACTCGTTGGGAAAGAGGGAATCACGGGAAGATCCCACGTATTCGCTCGATCATTTTAGAGAGAGAGAGAGAGAGAGAGAGAGAGAGAGAGAGAGAGAGAGAGAGCGCGCGAGCAAGCGAGCGAGCGAGAGAGCGTCGAGGCCACGTGGGTGTTATCGGAGCGAATTTGCCCCGAGAGGTCGGTTCGGTACGTGGGAGTGATTACACGAACGAGTTCATTCATCGTGCGGATTCCAGCGCGCCGGAAGTGACGACGACTTCCTCGGAGAGCTCCGACGTACGTCGTCGAACGGGAGGGAGAGAGAGGAGATTGCTCGATTAGCGCGTGCATTCGAGATTCGTCTTTTGTGGAAAGTGCCATTCGAGAAACAAGTTTGGACGAGGAGACGAAGAAGAAAGATAAGAAAATTACCGAAAGGATAATAAAGAAAGAAGAGAAAAGGATGTCGAAGATGGCGCAAAAAGTAGGGAGACTCGAAAAGAGACTGCAATGTCCTGTCGAATGTCTCGTGGCTCCTTGAATTTTTCTTATCCAGCTCACCCTTCTTTGTTACTCTTCCCATATATCTTTTCTTCTAATCTCTCGACGTCGGTCTATCTAGAAGAGAATGAAATCGACGTATAAGTCGTCGTTGCTCGAGTCACGAGGACGACCAAGGATATGCGAATGATCGACGAATCCATCCTATCTTCTATTATTTTTCCTTCGTCGAAGCGCAACGATACACGATCAGCGCGCGATTATGCAGCTGAAGAAAGCGATGCTTAAGATATTCGACCAATGTAAGTGTAAGTTTTCTTTTATCTTTTCTTTTTTACTTTCGTCTTTCTTCCTCTTTTCTTTTTCCTCGAGCTACCAACGATCTCGTTTAATTCTCTCGCGTCGAACGGACAGGTATCTATGGGTACATACGTAATTGGGTATGTATAAAAGTGGGATAAGAATAAAAGACGTAGTATCACGCTCTGCGCCTAAGTCGAATCGAGTAATTATTTAACTTGATTACCTCCGATATACATATCTGTTTATATCGAAGAAGAAGAGCTCCATATAGGAACTATATATAAAGAATATAAGAGTATAGGAAAGTTTTCTTTTACTTTCGTAAGAAAATCTTTGTAATTTTCTTTTTTTTTTCTTTTGTTTTTTTTTTTTTTTTTGTAAAAAAATCACTTTTGTAAATATCCATTGAATAAAGTACGCGGTTAACTTATTTTTGGCGATACGCGAGTCGACGATCTTCTCGTTGGAACCTGTTCTCTTCGACAATTAATATTTTATTACTCGCTTTAAGACACGGGTCTTGGGCTAAAAACAATATCGAACGAGGCCAGGCACAAAGTCCAAAGCGCAGGAAGAATAATAAAGCGTTCTGCGCAACGTCCTTTTATTCACATCAAACCGCAAATGATCGAAAGCCGCAGCGTAAAGCTCGGAGATAAGAAGATCATTTCCTTCGTCGTAGTTTCAACTAAATTATTTTACGCGTATAATTACACGTCGCGTTTTTTCTCCTTCTCCTTCTCAACGCAACTCTTACGACAAAAGAAAGAAGAAAAAAAGGCGAGATTATCGAAACGAAAAAATGCATGGGAGCTCATTACGAGCGTTCGATCGACGACAAAAAGAACGACAAAGTTGACTTTCCTAAAGAATATTTTTCGTTTTCGGAAGAAAAAGGAGCGAAAGAGATTTAGAAGATAATGACTTATGATAAGATCGTTGTATCGATAATGATTATGGGAGCTCACGTTTATTATTTTTGCTTGTGCTCTTTTATTTGTGCTCTGATGTCACTGCCACCACGGCGATAGATAAAGGCAGAAACTTCTTCGAAGCCTCGCATACGTAATTACATGAGCGTAACTTTTCGCTCGTCGAGGTAGATCAACCGGATGAATTTCGATCGGAAGAACTCCGATCGAGAGATTTATTGTTTAATTCATACTTATCGAAAACAAACGTACGCCTCCGTTTTCGGTCGTTAACATGGCATACGTCGAGTTATCCTTGATTTATTCTTACCATCTGACTAGCATCGCTTCCTCTGAAACGAGCGAGCGAGCGAGCGAGCGAGAGAGAGAGAGAGAGAGAGAGAGAGAGAGAGAGAGAGAGAGAGAGGGGAGAGAGGGAGAGGGAGCTACTCCCTGCTTTTATTTATAATCAGTACCTTCTCCTAGCTCCAAACAAAAAATACATTTCTCCTGTTCGTATTGATATGCTACTTTCTACCTCTATGTATTATACAATACATACATATACGCGCGTCTACACTTTTTCGATCTCTAACGTCACGCGAAAGAAGCCGTTCTCTTATCGCAAAGATTTAGTAACGTTTTATTTTTCGATGTTGCGAAAAATAATACGCCTCGATTGTCTCATCTACCTTCCTACTAGCACGTGTCTTCTTCGAGTTTTTCGTGTCATTTGCCTTTAAGGGTAGACGCATCGTTTCAACTTGCCTCAAAATCTTTTTCCACCATTTCCTTTATTTTAGTCCGTTTTTTCTTTTTCTTTTTTTCTTTTCCTTTGGCTTCCTCTCTTCCCTCTTCTTTTCTCATTTTTAACGTTTCAATCGAACGGGCAAAGAACAAATCTCAGCGATGCGTCGATGAGCGTTCGATCACGTTTACGTTTTGACGATGTACTTTCGTACGCTGATTCCCGTCCTCGTCATTGTCATTATTATTATCATCGTATCACGGACATGGACATCGTCACTTTGCATCGCTATCGCTCGCGTTCCTTAGCTATTGTTTTAACGGCAAGTAACTTAAGACCTCGCGCGATAAAAGATGCTCGTGCTTGGAAATTGTCTGCAACTCGAAAAAATGACGTAACGTCGATCGCTTTAACGAAAAGACAAAAGATAATTTACTTTAATTCGTATATATGTAGGATCGAACAGAAGAAAAAACGAAGCTTCGTTTCGTTATCCAATCTAATATGATAGATGAAAACTATTGTCAAAAGAAATTTATTCGGACTATATTAATTTATAGAATATTATAGGATTAATATAGGATACAATTATATCTAGTGATAATGTTAACACTAATATTAACATCTAATATTTAGCATCCTTGTCTTTTAAAAGTCGCCAAAAATTATCATTGCATTTTTATAACAATTACAACAATTCCGGATACGGTACAATTTTTCATTCTAACAAAAAAAAATCTGTAACGAAATTAATGTACCTAAATTTTGTAGAATCATACGATACAACTGTATCTATTGATAGCGAGTAAGACGAAAGAAATGTAATAGGATAAAATGTCTATGGATATTCTAATTAATTTTTGTGATTATTTTAAATTAAGATTATATTATATACGATATTAAAAATTGAAACAATACGTGTATACATATGTACGTACGTTTATCGTTTGGTCGATCAATTTCATTATGATCTGTATATCCGATCTTGATATTTTGTTTACGTTTAAAGCAATAACGAACGTTCTCTATTGTTGTCATTAGTCATACCCGTTACCTATCAATATTCTCGTAAGTCGAAGATTATTGTTAAAGTCACAGTTCGTCCTTAGACACCGTACCGTTCAGTTTAGTTCCCGATTCTCTCTCTCTCTCTCTCTCTCTCTCTCTAGTTTACTTTAGATACATGTAAGTATTTTTTAAGAAGAAAATTTTAATTTACTTTTGCGATTTAATTCTCTTACAGATCGAGCTTACAGATCGAACAGCATTAAATGAATAAATTAATATGGATTATCGTTAAAATTAAATTAATTAATGAGCATAGACGTCGCACTGGTTCGGTTCAATTCCTCATTTTCTTGCACATCTTAGATACTTGAGAATAAATTATTGTATTTATTTTACTTAATAAAACTTAACTTGAAAGAAACAAAAAAATATGCGAGATTTTCTCATACATTATATCTTAAATGCTAAAACGATGCTGAGTGTAATACATATCTTATATACACGTCTTAGATATTTGTAAGTGTAATATTATTTTGCGACTTAATCATCTTACCATTTAAACTTATTGAAACTTATTGAACAGATCGATTCGAATGCGTGTAAAGAGCGTCCGTGTTGATAGATGAAAAGAAACGAAAAATAACGGCGATGTACGCGATATGTCGTTCTAATTCGCATTCTAATTCGAGAGCGAATGAAAGTAAGAGAGTGCGAATGTTATAAGACGAATCTCCCACGACGAAGTTCTATCTATCAGAACGCTCTTATTTATCAGTATGCATTAAAGGCAACGGGTTCATACGCGTAAACTTAATGCACGTTTCAAATCCGAATTAGAGAAATCGATTTTTCCCTTCGAAATGAGAAATGAAAAGTGAAGAGAGAGCGTGTTCTATCATAGTACAGATAGCGATTCTATCATAGTACAGATTCGTAATTGTCGTTTAATATTAAATGTTTGAACGAAAAGAATTTATACCGAACTGACGCTTTTTCTCGCTCGCACGATCATGAAATTCTTCGATAAATAAATTCAATTCTAAAGGAAAGAAACGGATACGTACGGACGAGTTGTTAATCGATATTTCGATAGAAACGACGAAATCGTTCTTTTTTCTTTTTTCTTTATCCATCAGGACAAACGCAGTACTAGTATAATAAAGTGGAATAAAGAGTAATGGAATAAATGCGATGCGCTTGAGAATGCAAGGGAGAATAAGTTCGGGGGAGGGAGGATACCGGCCGTGTCGAGACGTCACGTCACGTCACGTCACGTCACGTCACGTCACGTCACGTCACAAAGGTGTTGTTGCATTTCGGAGTGGCCGTTTTTCTGTCTCGCGTCGGCGTGCGAGCCTATCGAAGAAGTGAGGTACCGACGGAGGAGGACGAGGAGGTGGCAGGTGGAGGAGAACGCAACGTGCGTGCTCGCTCACGCAGTACGGCCGTAACGTCATTCCGTCGTGCACAGCATGGGCCCCCATTAGCGGCCCTCGCTTCGTAATAGCGTAATAGCTCGGCAGGTTACTGTAAGATATCGTGAAAAAAAAACCCATAGTCCATTCGCGATAACTTGTAATAGATGGATAGATGGACAAGAAAGGACGTAACTCGATCTTAACGTCTTTCCTTGAGAAATATCTTGAGAATGTTCGAAAAGCTCGAATGTTGCTCGTCGTCGACCGCGCATCATTTCTCTGCTTTTTTAGACGGGAAAGGAGCGATACGTAATCTCGACGTTCTTCTCTAACGTCGAGTAATTTGAGCGCACGAAAGATTTACGATGCTCGTTAAGGAATATTCCGAAGGAACAGCGGATGGATCCTCGACGTGGAAACGAAACGAACCCGACGACATTTTTCACAAGCTCATAACGGAGCTCATAAATGAGCTCGCGAGGAGAGGGCACTTTTAACGGACGAAGTGGAATTGGTAATCGCAACGATAGGACGAGATAGGGATAAGTTTGATTCGTTGAGCGTCCAGCAAACTATCGCGAGGAGGAGGGAGAAGGGAGGCGGTTGCGAAGGCGTAGGCGGAGGTGGCCGGGGGACATTGAGCGTATTAAACCTGCCCGAGAGTCTGTACGTGCGCGTTGCCATAAGGACGTATGGACGTTGTCGAAGGGTCAGTTCGATTACCGAGAGATAAATTGGGGATTACCTATAAGGAAAAAATACGATTTCCGATTAATTTGCACCGTTTACCAGAAATTTCCTTTCGTGGGATACGATAAGAGAAACATAATGCGCGCGTACCTTTTTTCTTTCTCTCTCTCTCTCTCTCTCTCTCTCTTTATTGGGAATTCTTTTTCGAAAGAATGATACGAATG